ATCTACTGCAGTACTACTGATATATCTACTGTAGTACTACTGATATATCTACTGCAGTACTACTGCAGTACTACTGATATATCTACTGTAGTACTACTGATATATCTACTGTAGTACTACTGCAGTACTACTGATATATCTACTGTAGTACTACTGATATATCTACTGTAGTACTACTGATATATCTACTGCAGTACTACTGCAGTACTACTGATATATCTACTGTAGTACTACTGATATATCTACTGTAGTACTACTGCAGTACTACTGATATATCTACTGTAGTACTGCTGATAGGGGTCATTGTATGAAGGTAGATATGGTACAAAATGCGAGAGCGTGTAAAACCTGATGTGAGCACTTTCAGAAAAAGATCTGAGCTTGTGTGCATACATTTACACTTGTATCAAATATCCACGTATCTGTGAACCACATTTGAAGTCACAGAAGAAAAAAAAATGTTTGTAGCTTGTAGAAACAAAATGAACTTAGTGATGAAATGTTCACTTGCAGAAAAATATATAGTTTTTAAATATATTTTCCATTACAACTGCAACTTGGTTATTACAACCTCTCAAATCAGTCATTACAACGTCACAAATCTGCTCTGTGGCAGTATACATCCACAAATCTGCGGCCTTGACTTTTGCTACACTTCTTGCGATGAATGTGTTGCAAAAGTAATTTTCACCTGTAGATGTGGGGGGAGGGGGGTTGGAGCGAAGGGGCGGAGCTATCAGAACGAGGAGGCGCAAGCTCGGGTCAGTCACACACACTTAGGCCCAATTCCAAACCACGCCCTACACGCTACCCCTACACACTTCCCCTCCATGACGGAGTGAACTCCGTGGAGTGACACATGAGGCTCCTCCTGTCAGATGGAGGGAGACAGCGGCAAGCTTTGGGACAAACTCCCCTCTCTCCGGCAGAAACAGGAAATGCCATAACTGTTTGTAACAACGGTTTCAAATCAGCATCTCTTTGACAAAAAATGTAAATTAATAACTCAAATAAAACTCCAAACATCTTTCATTGTGTTACCTTTTTGTAAAGCTCTTTTAGTTTCAAACCTGATGTTTATAAGCTTCTTAGTTTTTGCAACAGTCTGTAAATATACACAACTTTATAATAAAATGCACACATTGACCTTTTTCTAGACAGGCATGATCCTAAGTTAAAAACATGAGGTTATCATGAGGTTGTTAACATCGCAGTTTATCAGTGGATGTTTGCTGGAACTGTTTGTAAACAGCGTGTTTCCTGACGGACACACAGCGTGTTTCCTGACGGACACACACAGCGTGTTTCCTGACGGACACACAGCGTGTTTCCTGACGGACACACACAGCGTGTTTCCTGACGGACACACAGGGTGACTCCGGTCAGGTAGAGACCGGTCTCAAGTCAGCACCGCTGCAGACTCGCTGTTTGAGGGCTTGATAGCCCACTCCCCCTCCACACCGCTCCACACTCGTTGGTTTGGAACAGACCTTAATGTGGCGGACCCTCCGCGCGAACGCGCAAACGGAGGGGTAGTGTGTAGGGGTAGGGTGTAGGGGGCGGTTTGGGATTGGTCCGCAGTCACAGCCACAGTCAGGTCGAATCTGCACATGCCCCTTTCACACCAACGCGGTTCCAGGGCCGGTTCGGAGCTTGAGCCTGATAAGCACCGTTTTTTCCTGTTCACGCCGCAGCGGAGCCGGCTCTTTTCCCCAAAAGCCGGTTACCAAGCTCGAAAAAATTGTCGGTCTAGAGCAGGGGTATTCAACTAAAATTCAACGAGGTCCAGTTAGAGAAAATGTCCCCATGCAAAGGTCCGGAACTTCAAAATGTCTAAGTTGCTTTATGAATTAGTGTGATATATATTGAAGTAGCTGTAGCTTTATCAACGTCTGCATGTAATCAACAACTGACTGCCAATCAAATAAAGAAAGTACAATTCAAAACCAACAATATTTATTTATTATAACTATACAGATATACAGTAAATACTGTGGATATGTGTAATGTTGCTCTCTGGCTGCATTTACAAATAAAATAGCTTTTGAAAATATGTGCATCTTAAAAGTGCTTAATTTGAGATAAATAAAATAAAGTGTAGCAGCAGCTTGAGTTTCCCTTTTTCTTTCTTTTTCAGCTTCAGACGATTATAGAACAATATCAGTCTTTACACATCATAACAATTGAACAGTTTTAAAGTTTCTCTTTCTGTCCCTCTTATATTGCAGTCCCTCTCTCATTTTGTTTTATTCAGTGCGAGAATTGAGCTTGAGCTTGTCCTGCCCGGAGTTTAAATCTGGGCTGAAATGGTGTCAGGGCCATTCTCATACACTCATGCAGGTGCTCATTGGTTAGCCTCGGTTAGCCTCGGTTAGCCTCGGTTAGCCGGCCCTGGAACCATATTTATTTTTTGTGACCTCAGTTCTGAGTTGAGAGGGAATGTTTGGTCAAACACTTTGTGTTTTGTCTCATAGTGGCGTTAGGCAAGGAAATAAAAACAAAAATAAATAAAGGGTGAATATTAAATAGTATTGCAAAGAAAAGGGGGGGGGGTGCTCTGCTGAGAATTAAGTATTGGGTTCTTCATCAATAGTAAGGGTGTCAATGTGGTCCAGAAAAGGCTGCCAGGTACTATGGAACGTGGTCAGGGAGCCCCTAAGGGAGAACCTAAGGGAGAACCTAAGGGAGAACCTAAGGGAGAACCTAAGGGAGAACCTAAGGGAGAACCTAATCCTCTCCAGCCTGACGCAATACAGGATTTCATGAATCCATCCATTATGGGTGGGAGGGGAGGAGTGTATCCATTTAAGGAGAATAAGCCTCCTGGCCAGCAGAGTGGTGAATGCAATAACTCGCTGTGTGGTAATGGGTGCATTGGGCATCAGAGGAATTCCGAAAAGGGCAGTGAGGGGGCCAGGGTCCACTGTCTCACCTAAGACCTCCCTAAGTGAATCAAATATTGCAGACCAGAACTCTGATAGTTTAGGGCACGACCCAAACATGTGCATGTAGTCAGCCGGAGATTGTTTACATCTATTACATGTGTCAGACCTGTCAGGGTATATCCTGGCCAGTTCAGCGTTAGGGTCATGTACTCTGTGCAGAATCTTGCACTGCACTAAGCTATGCCTTGCACATATAGAAGAGGTGTGTACCAGGTCTAAAATACGTGCCCACTGATCATCTGACATGTTAATCCCAAGGTCCTGGTCCCATATAACTCTAAGGGAATTTAAGCACGTAGGATTTATCTTAAAAATGTTATCATATATAATGGAGGTGAGCTTCCTTGAATCGGTCTTAAGTGATAGGAAAGAATCAATTATCGAATCAGGAGGCCGGCCTGGAAATTGGGGGTATTTCTTTTACACAAAGTGCCTGATCTGAAAGAATCGGAACAAGTGAGAACTTGGAAGGTCACATGTGTTGGCTAACGAAGAGAAAACCCCACCAGCATAAAGGTCATTAATAGACCGCAGGCCTTTGTCTGACCAAGTCCGGAAGACAGGCTCCGAGCACCG